AAGTCATTTCCAAGGTTCACCATTCAGCCGGGGAGTGGACAGCCCCATAAAACCAAATGGGACTAATGAGGCACAGCAGTCCAGGGACAAGGGCCAAAAGGCAGAAGGGGACAGGAAAGTTGGTGATAGGGAACCCAAGGTTGAGTAAGAATAGTGTTGATGTGTTGTGAGGTTATTAACCATTGTCATAGGGCAACGTGTACTAACTGTTAAATGAGAAACTATTTTGTTCTGTAAGCCTTCATCTAAAGTGAGAACAGCAGCACAATTGGAAGAGCATAGTCGACGTCACTGAACTGTGCATGTAGAAATTTTTGAAATGGTGTATCTTTGGCTATGTGTATTTTCAACAAAGAAAAAAAAAAGGTTGAGAAGGGAGAGGTTGACATGTTGTGGGGTTGTTAACCAATGTCATAAAACTATATGTGTACTACTGTTTCATGAGAAACTACTTGTTCTGTAAGCCTTCACCTGAAGTACAATTAAAAAAAAAAAAAAAAGCTACCATGGGCCCTGGGATCCCTCTAGAGAGAATGACCAAGGAGTACAGTCAGGTGCCTGAGAATCAAGTCTGAGGGGCTTGACCTGCATCCACTCAAATGTAGGAAGATATAATGGAATAAAAATGAGATATTCCTCAGGATTCCACTGACTATCTGGAATAAGAAGATCATCCCAGTTTTCAAATCCACGGAGGCCATTATGTTATTTTTCAGGGCTCAGTATCCACATTAACAAACAGACAATTCTGCATGGAAACATGAGTTGTGGACTACTTATTCATGGAAAATAAACTCTCAAAGTCTCTATATACAAAAAAAAAAAAAAGTTCGGAGATGTATAAACTTTTTTAATTGTGGTGAAATATATATAATAAAACAACTGCCATTTCAACCAGCTTTATGTATACAGTTCAGTGATATTATTTATATTCCCCATGTTGTGCAACCATCACCACTATCCATTTCCAAATTTTATCACATTTCACAGAAACTGAGTACTCCTTAAGCAATACCTCCCCATCACCCCCTCCCATCTGCCCCTGGTGACCGCTAATAAACTTTAGTCTCTATGCATTTGCCTTTTCTGAATATTTCATAGATGTGAGATCATACAATATTTGTCCTTTTGTGTCTGACTTATTTCACTTAACATAATGTTTTCAAGGTTCATCCATGTTATACCATATATCACAACTTCATTTCTCTTTATGGCTGTACAATATTCCGTTGTATGTATGTACCACATTTTATTTATCCATTCATCTGTTGATGGACACTTGGGTTGTCTCCACCTTTTGGCTATTGTGAATAGTGCTGCAATGAACATTGATGTACAAGTATCTGTTTGAGACCCTGCTTTCAATTTTTTTGAGAGTATACCTAGGAGTGGAACTACTGGGTCATACAGTAAGTTTTTGAGGAACCACCAAGGTGTTTTCCACAACAGCTGCACAATTTTACAGTCCCACCAGCAGTGGATAAGGGTTCCAGTTTCTCCACATCCTCACCAATGTTTGTTATTTTCCGTTCTCCTTATGGTTTTGATTTGCATTTCCTTACTGACTAATGACGCTGAGAACCTTTTCATGAGCTTACTGGCCATTTGTATATCTCCTCTGGTGAAATGTCTATTCCAGTCCTTTGCTCATTTTGTAAATGAGTTGTTTGTCCCTTGGGACGCTCCCAGACCAACCCAACTGTGCAAAATGTGCAATCCCAAATACTTGGAGTACAAGGTCCCACTGCCCACCCTGGCCCCAGCCAGCCACTCTAGGAACATTGGCTGCCGTCCCCACCACTATGAGGGATGGTAACCTGTTAGTGCACGTGGTTCACCTAGGAAAGATCAGCAGCTTGCACTCCCCTAGTTGATTTAAATGTCCAATCTGGTTCCAGAATTCCAAAATACTTGGTTCCAATTGCTCTTTCCAAGGCAATAGTTGTTCTGCTGGAAGGAGGACCTTTAGAACTTCCTAACCCACCATTTTGCATAACTAGGCAGTGCTTTTGAAAGTTCTAAATTCTGCAAGAAACTCTCAAGACCAGCCCTTTTTTTTTGGCCCTTAATGTTTGCTTCAGTCACACTAATTAATCCCAGGTGATTGAGGGTGACCACAGCCTTCAGGCATTGCTCCTTGCTTCCCTCCTAGTCCTGCAGGAGCATGGATGCTTGCTGAATCAGGAGGATAGAGCCTCCTCAGTCCTTCAAGCAGCCCCTAGATGGATATGAAGAATCATACACAACAGTCCACCAGCAAAAGGTGTCTGTTCTCCACACTCTGAGCCAAACAGGAGCACGGTTTATGGGCGAGAGCCAGTACCGAAGGTACTGCCATAGCCCCCCTCTGCCAGGAGGTGGGGAGGGGGAAGAGCATCTACAGTAGAGGGAAAAGTTTTCCTACCATTTGCTAGTCAGCTATTTCTTTATTCATTTAGATGCTGTAACTCTAACTGATTTTCAGGGTTCTGAGACCATTAGTTCCACCACTTTCAGTTCAGTTTGTTTGTTTTTCCTGTTTTTGTGTGGGGGCACCGGTGCACACAGCTACTTATGCCTCCCACAGATGTATCTTTTATTAAAAAAAAAAAAAAAACACGATCTTTGTCCAGTTTAAATATATCTTGCCTCAAATGCTATTTTGTCTAAAATAAAATTGTCATAATTGCTTTTGTTTGTTAGCAGTTTCCTAGTATATATTGGAGCAACACTTTATTTTCAACATATGCTATTTTGCTCTAAGCATCTGTGGTAATGACTAGTAATTGCCACCACAATCCATTTTCTCCTTCTTTAGAAAGAGAACCCTTATTTAACTCTGGGCAGCAAAGTGCCCTGCTAAAACTGAAGACAAATGATAAAGAGAGAGACAATATGTGAATATAATAGGAGATAAATTGAACAGAGAGCCAGGTAGAGTTTGAGTCTATTTGAATTACCAGTACAACATGTAGGGGGCACAAATTAGCGGAGAAGATTTCAAGAAAGTGCTTTCAAGGAATAGTAAGTATCAATGCAAAGAGGTAGGATTAAAAAAGCTTGTAAAATGATAAATACGTTAGCCTAGATTTCATCCTAACCCATGACGCTCTCAAAAGTCATCAATTAACCTCTTCTTTCCATGCAAAGATCTTATTGCCATCATTGTTCTAACATTTGTTTTCTTAATTCTTTCCCATTATTGTGGTTCTCCTTAAGTGATGGTTAAGATTGTGTGTCAACTTGGCTGGGCCATGATTCTCAGTGTTTTGGCAGTCATATAATGTTGTTATCACTTCCCTGTTGAGATTTGATATGTGATCACCCCCATGATGGGATCTGCTGTGAGTGGCACCGGTGGGGGTGGGGCCTGTGGTGGCTCACCACCCCCTCAGCCTTTGTCTCTCCGCCCTCCACCACCCAGTCCTTCCTGCTTTCCTTTCCGAGGCTTTTGTTTGCTCTGGATCCTGCAGCTGGCTCCTGTTTGTCTCACCTCCCATTCTTGGGACTTGAGCTAGCAGCTTACTTGAGGTCTTGCCTGCCTATCTTGAGATTCGTCTATCTTGACAGCCTGCAACAGCCCTGCTCTCTGGCCTGCCAATCTTGGGTTCACCAACCTGAGGCTACATGAATCAGGAGAAGCCTCTTTCTTGCCCCACAGACTTGGGACGTTACAGCCTCTAAAAACTGTAGGAGCCATCTCCTTGATATAAATCTCTTTCTCTCTCTGTGTCTCTATGTCTGTCTGTCTATCTGTCTCTCTCTCTCTCTCTCTCTCTCTATATATATATATATATATATATACACTTTACTGGTTTGGTTCTTTAGAGAACCCAGCCTAAGACACCCTACTATCATTCCAATAGCTCTTCTCTCTTTCATTTTGTCCTTACAATGGCTTTCCCTAAGGCTTACGCCTTCACTCTTGTTTATTATCCTCCCTTCTTAGGAACTCAAGAATGACTCCCCCACCAAGGGAGGGAAAATGGGTCAAGGTTTGTTTTTGATATTTTGGGAATTTTTTTGTTTTGTTTTGTTTTGAAGAAGGTTTCTAGTTAGTAGGACATCCATCTAAGGCCATGGAACTACAGAGAGGATAAATGATCAAGGCTGGTGAAACAAAGCTGACAGTCCTCTGGACACTCAACCTCTGTGAACTGATGCACTAAATAAGGAATAGTATCAGATGTAGAGAAGTCACAATTGGATAAGTATCAAGAGACCAGTGGATTAAGGCAGGATCTATGGCTAAAATTTGAAATCCAATAAAGTAATTTTAAGTTAAAAGGACAACCTTAACACCAAAAGCTACTAAAATTCTAATCTTCATTGTATGAAATGTAGGAAAAAATTATCTTTTACTAATACTTTTTGATGATTCCATTTTGAACCACTAATATACTTACTCAAAGTCAGAGGCGCTGATGAGCTTGGAAGGTACTGTGCTTCAAGAATTTGTAACTGAATTCTGCTATTTACTGCTTGAAAACAAGTCCCCAATTCAAGCTCTGCATGGCAAACCTACATATCAAAAAGTGTCATTTGGTAAATAATGTGGGATATTTGAAAAGTTCAAAGATATAGAGCTAAGGTTAGAAATTTTGAAAACACTGCTTAACTATTTTATCTAATACATAATTGCCACACCTGCTTTTATTTGTTAGCCCTTGCTAACAAAGCCATAGTTGTAAGAGAAGGTTAAGAAGATAAACCTTATGGATTCTGTAAATACAAGTTACACCTATATACTGAACCTTCAAAGTCAATGAGACAAGGCAATTCAAATTAATAAGAATTAAGTTTCTAAGCAGTATTACTGGAGAAAACATCAGTGAAATAAACACAAAATGAGCACACTTTCAAAAGACTTAAATGTAGTCATTTGAGTTACTTTTAAATAGCATATGAAATATAATGATAAAAATGTTATATATGAGAATCATCACTAGCTTTCTAATTACAGAAATCAGAGTTGTTGTTGGTTGCCATTTAGTTGGCTCTGACTCATGGTGGCCTTATGCATAACAGAGCAAAACAAAGGATTACTACGATTACTACAATGAACTGATTTGTGAACTAAGAGCTGAATTACTATGCTGAATGGAAGTAAGCCAGAAAAATAAGAAAGTTGGCAAGAACGAAGCTAGTATAAGTATGAGGTGGCAAATAATAAGGAAAAGGTCAAAGGAAACCCTGAGGCAAACAGTAAAATAAAGGAGACCTAGAGAGGGAATCTACTTCTGTAAAGGTTTCAGCATAGGAAACCCTACGGGGCAGTTCTACTCTGTCCTATAGGGTCACTATGAGTTGGAATTGACTGGATAGCATGTACACAACAACAACAGAGAGGGAGAAGAGTTCCTTGGTGGTGCAAACTCTTAATGTGCTTTGCTGCTAACCAAAAGGAAGAAAGGCATGGTGATCTACTGAAAAAATCAGTCACTGAGAACCCTATGAAGCACAGTTCTACTCTGACACACATGGGGTCACCATGAGTTGGCATCAACATGACAGTAACTGGTTTTAGAGAAGGAAAAAAATTAAGATGTACTTTACAGTACTGCTAACAAACAAGAAAAGAAAGTTGGCAATTTGTGAAATTCAATACAAGCCAGCCTAGTACGGGGATTCCAAGGTTCTTGGAGTGAAAAATAAAAGAGACAAACATAAAGTTGTCCAAACAGGGAACTATTACTATTCACATGTTGAAAAGAATTGGAATAAAGCAACAAAACAATGTTGGCAGCTCTCACTAGGGCTCTGCATAGGCAGATACAAAAGTCTTTGCTAGTATTACCGAATGATGCTTTATGAAGAGATTTATATTTGATTATTATCCGGTGTTCCCTACTAACTAGTTCATGGTTTGTGGAAAAAGATATTTTTACGTACATGCCATTAACTGAAGTTTGGGCATTTTCTTAAGCATGCCTCTGTGTTTTAAAATTGGCCATGCCATAACAAACCAAGAGACAGATCATGAAAAGTGAATCACATAAAAAGTTAAAAACTCAACTGTTGAGGTTAGAGTCCCTTGTTAAAAAGTCCAAAATGAAAATCTAAAGCAATGATAAAAAACTGTTTATTTTGGCAACAAATGCTAAATTCTAATAAATAAATGAATCTACTGCTACTGCTTTTAATCAGAATGAAAATGAATTAATAACTCTTTTCAAATGAACTAATTCAGTAGTTAAATATAAATAAAACCTTTGCTGATTAAAAAATGTCCTCGGCATTTTAAAAATTGGGAGTCACTTATTATTTACAAAACACAAAGGAAAACACGGATAAAACATTTTTTATTAATTATTTTCATTATGGTTTTGTACCCACAATGAAATAACACTTATAAAAATTCCTAAAGGTGGCAAAACTTCTCTCACTGTTACACAATTGTAGAGTTCACTCTCATAAAACAAAACAGCTTTTGACAATGAGTTTACCATTTCCTACTTGTCAAGGTTATCTCGCTAATTCAGTGTATGTATCAGAACATTAATTCAGACCAGGAAAAACTATTCAAAGTGGTTTTCAACCTTTCAATAACCAAAATATTATAATTTCAATCAGTTAACAAGTAACATATGCATCTAATAAGCACAAAACTATGGAAGATATAAGACATGATCTCTGCTCCTGAATAATTGTTTTTTAAAGAAAAGAAAATTATTAGCCTTCCTGGAATTGTTAACACTGAAATGTTAAGTATAATTAGAGAAAACCATGATCTGGTGATGTTTGAGAAGATCTTAGAGGAGCAATACATTATAGCTTTAAGATATCTGACTGTAGAATCAGAATACCTATGCTCTCCTACTATTGGCTGTGAGAACCCAGACAAGTGCTTTAATGTCTTCATCTCCACTATAAGAATAACAACAGCGGCAAGCTCAAAAGTTTGGTGTGAGCATTAGGTCTCTTAGTATCTTGTCAGTCAGATGGTTAAGTCTCTATAAATGTTAACTATTTCTTCAAGCTAACCTTGTCTCTTCCATATTACTCAACACAGAAATTTGAGATTGCAAGTAAATACTTATATTACCATTTGTCAAGGTCAAAAACTACTGAGAAAAATATTAGCTCTACACCAAAGTCTTCCTACTGTTCACGGTGAAATAGCTGTCAGTGTGGATGGAGAGAGAAAAGTCTGAATAATGAGAATAGCAATTTTCCTTGTCCACACACGAAATAAAGCATTCTATTCTTGCTTTAGCCAATATGAAACATTCATACTCAGTACTGTAAATCCACTGGTCCAGTATAGGCCAAACACTCTTCTTTCAGGAAATTGATCTTTGTGTCCCTGGCACTTGGCATACAGTAGATACACAAATGTTTATAAGACCTCTACTGTATGAAATATGCTTTAGAAGAAACTTAGCCATAATCATTCAGATTCTCTAAGGCAGATAAGATTGTAATGTCTCTATTTCCCAGAAAATATCTTCACTGAGCTATCTTCTGATACACTCTTTTGGTCTTTAAAGTTTGAATACATGAATTACCTATTTGAATGGCACATTTGTGTCTTCTGTAAAATAAGGTTGCAGATTACTGTCTACTAAACTAGTTTCCAAAGACACAAACTCCTGTCACAGTTACCGAACAAATTTGCTACTTTTAACAGAAAACAACAGCAATCTAATTTGGCATGCTTTCATTCATCATTTATTCTTTCATACCTACTTACATACATATAAATATTCAGTGTCAAGAACATGTCAGGCCCTTACAAAGAGCTTGGCAAATATGAAGAAAACAGGTGGGAGCTTAGAGCCTAGTTTTGTTTTTAAGCAAGTAACTAAAATAATCATGTTGTAATAAATACTATAAAGAACATTTTGGGGATGGAGACAGATAATAATAAACAGGAACTGTCAAGAACTTTCAGATTTTATAGATCAATTATAGCAATCTTTTGTTATTTTCATTTTTTAATCCCTAATTTCCTCTCCAATTAGTGTCTCTCCATCCAGGCTACACACAATCATCTGGTGAGTTTTTGAAAAATGCAAATGTCTGTGCCCACCACCAAGACATTTTGATTTAACTGGTTTGGGGTGGGCATTTTTTTAAAACTCCCAAAGTAATTCTAATGCATAGCCAGGCTGAAAACCACTTCAAATCACCTCAGATATTTTGTAAACAGATAGCATATAAATCCTATAGAAATATAAAATGATAAAACGACATACAAGTTTTGACTTACAAGCTTATGACTAATCTGTATAAATGCTATCATGACATAGAAACTATATGATTCAATTCTTAGAGATTTCTAAACTATTTAACAGAAGTTAGCAGAAGCAAGTATCACGTCTCAAAAATCAATCAGCACTATACAGATAATGAAGTTTTTACAAAAAAATGTCAGCTGTAAGAACTTCCATTCTAATTTATGAGCAGGTATATAGCTTACTCATGATTAAAACAACTTTTAAATCTGTTTCAGAGTAATTTCTAATTGGGTTTGGTGTCTATGATTCTTTCTTGCTTTTCCTGAG